ACACCACACACACACACACACACCACACACACACACACACAGCACACACACCCTGACTGCAGGGCCCGGGGCACACAGCATGCGGGCAGCAGGGCTGACAGTGACCTCAGGGTGCCCAGTCCCCGACCCTGGCTCGAGCCTCGGCACAGGCAGCTTCCGGCTCCAGGCTTGTGTCCGGCCCAGGGCGGCCCGGCCTTGGCCCAGGAGTGGCCGTGCCTAGGGCCCGGGGACCAGGGAGCCGGACCGTCCGACCCCTCGCGCTCAGTCCTTCAGAGCCTGGGGCGACCGTGGGGAGTGGTGCCAGTGCGGCCCGCCCAGCCGCCACGGCTCACCCCCATCGTCCAGCAGCACGTTCTCGGGTTTGAGGTCGCGGTAGACGATCCGTCTCTGGTGCAGGTGCTCCAGGCCGCTCAGCATCTGGGCCGCATAGAAGGTGGCGCGTGGCTCCGGGAGGCCGGGACTCTCCTCGTCCACGCTGTAGATGTGGTACCTGGGCGGCACGCGCAGAGCACCGGCACCCTGGCCACAGCCCGCCCGGGACAGGCCCAGGCGGCCGGAGGCACCGGCTTCCTGCACCCCAACCACGACTCTCAAAGGCAGGAGCTGCGGTCAGGGGCCTGTCCTCCGGGAGCCCAAGGCCACTTGCCCGTCCACACGGGGGCCAGTGGCCGCCTGGTCCCTGCTGATGTGCGTGGCCCACGGCAGGCACGAGTCACCCGACCTTGAGAGCTGCCCACCTCTCCTCCCTGGGCCATTGAAGGCTGCTGTGTGGCCCTCATGTCCCTCACTGGAACCCAAGCAGCCAGAGAGAAGGGCCCACGGAGTGAGGGCGGGGGCAGGAGGCAGTGTGGGCCTCCCAGCCAGGCCCCCTGCAGCTCCAGGCTGGCCCAGGCCCTCCAGGACAGCGTGAACCTGGGCATGGGTCCCGTTTCAGAGACGAGGACACCAAGGCCCAGATGAGGCCTCAGCCAGCTCCGGGCCTGGCCCCCCGACCTTCCTGGGAACCCAGATGGCCTCAGAGTCGCCCAGGGACTGGTCAGGGCACACATGCTGCTTGGCTGCTGGCGGCACGGCCGGCCCACATGGGCCGCTCGTGTTGCAGGCCAGCTCCCTCCCGGGCGGGCACCAAGGGTGTCGATCACCACGCACCGGCCCTTGGTGTGAGGTGCGAGGCCCTGCGCCGGCCTCGGCTCCCGGCACCAGGTCAGGGAACAGAACCGGGAGGCACCCGTGACCAGCCTGGCCAGGGCGACCAGGGACTGCTGCCCTGGTATGGCCTGAGACAGGCACCAGCTCTGGGACAGAGGGGCTTCTGATGGGGCCCAAGCAGATGTGCTCAGCTCGCGGGCCACCAGCCTGGACGGCCCTTTACCTTACATCACCTCCACTCATGATGGTCATCACTAGGCAGAGGTCAGTCTTGGTCTCGAAAGCATAGGCCAGAGAGACGATGAACCTGCTGTGCACTTTGGTCAGGATGGTCTTCTCCACCATGGCGCCCTGGAGGGCAGAGGAGGGAAACCAGAGGCCTGTGGAGGGGCCCAGGCCGCCTGCACCAGTGGCCACAGGGCCAGACTCATGCAGGACAGTGTGCCCAGCTTCAGAAGCAATTGAAGTCCCTGGAGACCCTTTCCACACACCCAGCACACAGGGGCAGCATGAGAAGCCATCTCGGACTGGGCCCGGGGGTCCCACCACCCAGCCGACGGCCATCTCCCTGCCGCAGTGCTGGCCTCCCTCTCAGTGCTTCCTGGGTCCAGCCAGCTCCCCTGCCGCCGCCCAGCCCCGTCCTGCCAGCCTCTGCCCCAAAGAGCTCTGCTCCTCTGAGACCACGGGGGGCATCGGGGTGCAGGGCAAGACCGGCCGGGCTCGCCTCAGCCTGCAGCAAGACCCGAGGAGGCTAAAGCCAGGGTTAGACACGAATGGCCTGGCATGACCTGCCCTTTCCAGATTGCCACGACCACCCTGGGAGTGGTCACGTCCAGCTCACAGCTGCGTTCTTCTAGGCTGAGCAGCTCCCGCTGACCCTGCCTGGCTGGACACACTGGTGCCAGCAGAGGAGTCGGCAAGACGCTGACTCCTGTCCTCCCAGAAGGCCAACCCCGCACCCCAGCCCCGGGCCAGGCCAGTCCGAGAGACATGTGGCTCAGAGAGCCCGGCCTCCCTCAGAGCCCGGCCTCCTTCCCCAGAGCCTCCCCTGTTGCAGTGTCAGCGGGCTTTGAACTTCCAGATGGGGCAGACTCCGGAGAGCAATCCCTGACAGGCAGGGTCCACCGGCCAGGAACCCGGGAAGGACCACAGGCCCCGGGACCAGTGGCGGGGGCAGTGTGCGGCTCGGCAGGTCCTCCAGGGCCTGCAGCCTCCATCTGGACCACGAGAGCAGGCCCTGCTGCTGGTCGCCGTGCCCACCTGGTACCCCTTCCTCTTCTTCAGACGCTTCTTGTTGAGCTTCTTGCAGGCGTACATCTTGCCGGTGGCCTTCATCTGGCAGGCAGACACCTCCCCAAAGCCCCCCTTCCCCAGGACCCTGAAGTCCAGGAACCAGTCCTCCCCGACAGGCTGGGCCTCCAGCCACTTCCACTGCAGGAACCTCCGGAAGTGCAGGCTGTCCAGGAACTCCCGGAAGGGCGCCCCGCTCAGGTGCTCCAGCGTGGCCTGCAGCAGCGGCTGCAACAGCCCCTCCTGGCCCCCCACGGCCCCGCCCTTCACCTTCGACATGGTCCCCTCATCCAGAAAGCTGCAGAAGAGCTTGGCCTGGGGGTCCAGGTACGTGGCCACGACGCTCTGTGCCTTCTGCGGCCGCAGGTCACCATCCACCGTGTCGTAGTCCTCGATGTCCAGCCAGAGGCCCACAGCCGGCTCGTGCCTCTGGTCAGCCCTGAGAAACTGCTGGAAGAGCCGCCTGCCGATGGGCTGCTCCCGGCACACGCTCTGGAAGTCCAGGTCGAGGCTGTCCCGGAGGCCCTCGCACTTGGACAGCGGGGGCAGCCGGAGCTTGGCCCGGTACTTCCTGTCCCTGGAAGACGGGCCGCTGCTCCCATCAAAGCTGCCCCGGGCAGCGATGAAGGCAGAGTTGGCCACCACGGTCTCCAGAGACCCGAAGTCCATCCTGGCGCTGCCCGCTGCCCGCTCAGGCCGGAGGAGACCTCGGCCAAGGCCAGGCCCTTGGCGCCGACTCGCTGCCCTTGGCCTGTGGCCGGCTCCTGCCCTGGGGGACCAGGAAGAGCTCCGAGCGGTGGTGAGGACGCCCAGGAGGACTTGGGGCTGACTCAGCACTGACTAAATCCCAGCCCCCGGGCAGGGAGGGCACCGTGGGGGAGAAAAAGAAATCCCCTAAGCTGCCCCAAAGCGGATCAGCCAGGGGCAGCTCAGCCCCCTGCAGGAAGGACAAACCCAGGCCCCCGGGGCTGCGCCTGTCCTCGTGGGACCCTGGCCAGCAAGGACAGGGCGTCCGTGGCGGCGTCCTCTGTGAGGATGGCCGGTCATCCATTTTTATTCTAGGGAAATTACAGCAAGAAGCAAACCTCCAGCCATTAGGAGCTGAGAGGAGAACCCCACAAGAGCTGTCCAGGGGTGTCCGTGGGTGAGGGCCCAGCACACCGAGCGGTCAGCAGGGTAGCTCAGGTGGCGCCAGCCAGGGAGCCGGACACTCAGAGCCGCCCGGGCTCAGCCCGAGTCAGGCAGGAGAGGACGGGCGAGGCAGGGACCTGGGCGGCGGCACACCAGGGGCACACCCAGCAGCCAGGTGGGCACAGCCGACTCAGGAGGGCGCCCTGGGACACGCAAGGGCGGGCCAGGTCCTCCTGGGAGGAGGCAGCCCCCAGCTCCAGGGGCAGGCTCCTCGGGGCCCAGCCTACAGCAGGGCTCGGCTTGGCTTGCAGAGGAGACGGAGGGCGGTGTCCCACTCACAGAGGACAGGGACAAGGCCAGGAAGAGAGAGTGCCCACGCCCAGGGAGGCCGGAGGCTGTGCGGTCACCCGCCTCGTGCAGGAACCTCCCGGCTGGCCTCGGGCAGGACTGTGGCAGGTGCTAGTGAGTAAATATTTGAGGTGAACAGCATCGTGTTGTCCCCGGGAGGCGGCACTAGGTCAGCCCTGCCCCCTAGGAGGAGGTGACCTTGGGCCAACCACTGTCACGCCTTCCCGTCACCAGGGTCAGAGGGGACAGGTTCTTGTGGTATTGTTGGTACGGGTGGCCTCTGCTGCCTTTCCCCGGGGTCCGAGCCAGGACAGTCACCCAGAGACCCTGCAGGAGCATCCCACGCCGGTGGGTCTGGGCGGTGCGTCTCTGGGGGCCCCAGGGGGCGCCCACGTCATGGCCCACATGAGACCCAGGGCTGAGGGAGAGGACTGCACTAGAGGTAGGCACAGAGGTGTCCTGTGGAAAGCACCCGCTGCCCCTTGCCCGGCCACAGAGCACCCAGGATGAAGCCCCTGAGTAACAGCCCGGGGCACAGCCCAGCAGGGCAGCAGGGCCCTGTGCTGCCTCGGAGGCCACTCGCCTGCCCTGCCCACCCCTGTGGACCACCAGTCTGAGGCACTTGGGCACTTCGAGGATGCTCTCTGTGTGGATTCGCACAGTGGCCCCCAGACCAGCTGTGCACTCACATGGCTCTGGGGGGCCATCTAGGTCGGCGTGTACGACAGACCCCTGGACCCAGAGCAGGCCTGCTCCACCCTCTGTCCACCTGGACCCAGAGCAGGCCTGCTCGACCCGCTGCTTCCAGTGTTCGGCTGCCCGAGAGGAGCCGCTGTGGACATGGTGAGTGTCCCTGAGTGCCACTCGGGTCGTGTGGCAGGGGTGTTTGCTCTCTGGGCAGCTCCGCCAGGGGCCGTCCACCAGGCCTCCCTCATGGACACAGGAGCTCTGCCTCCTCAGAGTCCTGCAGGTGCTGGTGGCCCTGGTGGCTGCGACCTGCACTTCCTGAGGGCTCGTGCTGGTGTCCTCTGGGCATGCCCTCGCTTCCACCTGGAGGGTCCACTTTCTGTGTCCCGGGCAGGTCCCTGGTCAGCGTGTGGTTTCCAGGTCTCCTCCCGGCCGCTGCCTCTCTGGTCTCCTTATGTAGGCTCACCGAGCAGACGTGGCTCATCTTGCTGACGCCACCTGCCCACGCTCCTTCTCACAGGCTGGGCCTGGTGTCCAGTCCGACTCCCCTAGCCGTGGCTCCTGAACACCCTTCCGTGTCTTTCCTGACGTTTCACCCAGAGTCCGTGGCCCAGGGGCTACGTGTGGGCCAGGCGTGAGGCTGAGGTCCAGTGTCTGGTACAGGCCCAGCTGCCTGCACCTGGAGCAAGGCTATTCCATGCCTCGATGTCCCCTGCACCTCTGCAGGAGTCGGTGGCTCTGTCCACCCTGAGCTGCACCTCGCCTGGCCTCAGGACACAGTCCTGGTCACTGGGGCTGTCCCCAGCTGTGGAGCTGGGCAGACCTGCCTCCCACTGTATTCTTCGTCTCAAAAACATTTTCCAGGAACTCTTCAGAAAGTGGAAGAAAATATCTACCTATTCTAGATCCCTTGGCTTTCTGTACAAGTTCTAGAATGATTCCTGTCTCTACCTCCAAAGTGATCTTGCTGGGACTGTGAGTGTGAGTGGGGATAGCAAGGATTGAACTCAGGGGCCCTCGACCACTGAGCCACATCCCAGCCCTCGTTTCTGTACTTTTTTAGAGACAGAGTCTCACTGAGTTGATTAGCATCTCCTTTTGCTGAGGCTGGCTTTGAACTTGAGGTCCTCCTGCCTCAGCCTCCCAAGCTTCTGGGATCGCAGGTGTGCGCCCCCACACCTGGCTTCTGGCTGGTACGTCGATGAGTTACTTTAGGTCTGAAGATTGACTTGGAGAATCTCCGTCTCTACTGAGCTGGGACCTGTGCCTCCGTGAGTCCGACCTCCACTTCCTTCCTCGCCCACCCAGAGGGTGTCACCTCTGTCCTGCTTGTCAGACCTTGTGTCCTTTGGGCTGAGCCTTGTCACGGCGCTGCACTTTCATCCTAGCGTGCACGTGCCTGTCTCTTGCCCTGCCAACACAGCTGGTTCTTCACAGTGGTCTGGAGTGAACGTGCTGTTTCTTGGATGGATTTCTCAAATCAAACCCGCTTTGCATCCCACTGGAACACAGAGTGGGCTTTTATACACTGTTGGACTCAGTCGCCCACATTTTATGTTTTATTTTATTTTATTTTTTTATTGATTTTGTTTTAAATACACGACAGCGGAATGTATGACGATTCTTATTACACATATGGAGCACAATTTTTCACCTCTTTATATAAAGTGTGTTCACGCCAATTCATGTCTAGTTGCCCCCATTTTAAAGGACATTTGTGTCCTTGTTCCCGAGGGCCACTGGTCTGCAGCCCACTCTCCGTATTCCTGAAGACTGCTGGTCCATCGGGCTTTCTGGCTCCACATGTGGCCCATTCACACCCACACCTGCACCCCAACTGTCCTCACGGGCTCTAAGAGCGTGAGCGTGGCCCACGTGGCCACACCGCCTGCTGGGAGGCAGCTGCAGATGCCACGGCTGGGGTGCTTCCGACCCGGAGCCTCGGGCCCCCGTCCAGCTCCTCAGGCAGGAGGCCGCCCTCCCCGCCAGCCGCTGGAGGCAGCAAGCCCGTGAGGGGAGGGCTGTGCCCAGGCCTGGCCTGGCCTCCGCTGCTCTGAGGGTTGCCTCCTGAGGAGACACGTGCCCTTGGTGGCTATCAGAGCAGCGCCTGCCAAGGGCACCCCAAGGGTGTCCTGGGGGCCCCCCGGGTGCCTGGGACAGGGAGGAGGCGTGATAGCAGGGGAGCGCCTGGGGACAGCCCCGTGTTTGGAGAGCTGATAAGGCCTCCTGTGCCTTTGACGCCCAGGAGACTATAAGACCGAGGGCCACTGCCCCGTCCCAGCAGGAGCTGGCATCACCGGGGACATGGCCGCGCTGCAGGAGAAAAAGTCCTGCAGCCAGCGCATGGCTGAGTTCCAGAACTACTGCTGGAACCCCGACACGGGCCAGATGCTGGGCCGCACCCCGATCCGGTGGGGTACGTGAGGGCCCTGCGGGGCTGCTCAGGGCGCCCGTCCAGGGTGGTGTGGGAAGGGGGCAGAAGACCACTGGCCAGGAGGACCAGACTGCAGGAGAGGCTGTGGCTGCCGGGCTCTGGTGGGAAGCAGCAGTGGCCCTGGACAGCCAGGTGGGCGCTCACACAGGACCCTGCGGGAGGGAGGGGCATGCGGCCAGCCCAGCTGGCCCCAGCAGGGACAGAGCCCCTGCGGCACCCACGGGGAGGGGGCTCTCCCAGTGGGCCCTGGGGGGCGGGTGTCTGCCTGTTCTTCATCACACCTCGTCACATGTCACCCTCTCAGGCCTGACCTGTGCGTGTCACTGGCCCAAGCCTGTGGGTGATGGTGACACCCCCGGCGTTGGCCCTTGCCCTGGAGCTGCCCCTCCCCTGGGAGCCTCCGTCAGGCCTGCCAGCATTTCTCTGTGTCGCTGGCTGCCCCCGTCCCTAGTGAGTGGTCTGGCTCTCGCGACCCTGGAGGACCCCTTTCCCTCTGGTCACTGGTACGGCCTTCAAACCAGGGGCCCGAGAACAGGCCTGGTGTCTTGCCCCCCGAGGCGCCCTTCCCTCTGTCCCAAGGGTCCCGTCTGCCATGGGGGTCCCTATCTGTGTAGACCCTGCCCCTCAGCAGGAAGCCAGGGTCCCCAGATGGCCCCAGAGGCCTCCTGCTCCCCAGAGGCTGCCCTCGGCTCTGTGAGCCGGACGCTGCAGGGTGAGGCCAGCAGGCTGCAGTGCCTCCCTCCCTCATGGCCACAGTGGGTGCCTGCCCCCTCCTGGGAGATGGGGAGGAAAGGTCCAGGTGGCCTCCCACCCACTGCAGGGGACAGAAGGCCCCCGCCGCCCACAGGCCTGCCCAAAGCCGCCCAGGGATGGCCCTGCTGGGGGGTCTTCAGCCAACAGCAGTGTCCATGAACTCCCTGCAGAGTGAGCCCTGAGCCTCCTTCAGGATCTGACCTCCTGGTGAGGCTCTGCCGGCAGCTCTGCAGTGCCAGCCCGGCTGGGGACAGGGTGGCCCCCACCCCTGGAGTCAGAGCCCCCTCCTGCCCCCTCTCCTGCAGTGTGGATCAGCCTGTACTACGTGGCCTTCTACGTGGTCATGACGGGGCTCTTTGCCCTGTGCCTCTACGTCCTGATGCAGACCATTGACCCGTACACACCTGACTACCAGGACCAGCTAAAGTCACCAGGTAAGCGCAGAAGGACACAGCCCTGAGCGTGCTCCACCGCCCACGGGCAGTGGCAGGGATGGCTCAGCTTTCTCCGTGAGCGACAGATCTGAGTCGACGTGGCTTCAGCTTTAACATCACAACAGCACTGGTCAGGGATGAGGACAGCGCTCTCGCTGGCTGGCCAGTGCCCGCGAGCACGTCGGACGTCGCTGGGAGGACCCAGGAGGAAGCTGGCAGGGCCTGGAGACCAGGGAGGAAGGACCTGGAGAGGGCGAGTTGGACACCCCACAGGCGCAGAGGGTGAGGGAGAGGTGGGCCTGGCTGCGGGGCCGAGGAGGAAGTGCCAGGTTCCCTAAGAGGCTCCGCAGGTTTTCACGTCCAACCAGGCAGAGCTGCTGCCTTCCAACGCCAGAAACAGCCTCTGCTCAGGTAGACAGGAGCAGGCTGCCAAGTGGACGTGGTGCACCAGCAAGTTCTGTGGTGCCGTGGCCGGAATCAGAGGCCGGGAAAGGGGTTTTCAGCAGCTTTGGAAATGGGGAAGCATGGGGGTGGCCAGAGTGCAAGGTGACCCCGCCGGCCGGGAAGGAGGGTGTTGAGGCGTGGCTTTGACTCCTCTCCCACACACACAACCTGGAACTGAGCCAGAGCCGGAGAAGTGTCCGTGTGCTGAGATGCAGCCCCCTGAGCCCGTGACAGTGACGGCCGTGTGACTGAGCTCAGTCCTGCCAGCCACCTGCTCCTCGTGGCCAGGCTCTGGACCTTCCTGGGACAGGCCCCACCTCACAGCAGCCGTGCTCCTCCTGGCTCTCAGGCGGGGGTCCCAGGGCCACGTGTCCTCAGAGCCCTCCATCGGGAGCCTGGCCGTGGCTTCCTTCCCGGGAGAGGCCCGTCTCCCAGACTGGACTTGCCTCCAACCATTCTGTGCCAGGCTGGACCCCCGGGGCAGGGCTCCGGGAGACACCGCGGTGCTCTCTCCCCAGGGGTGACCCTGAGGCCGGACGTGTACGGGGAGAGAGGGCTGCAGATCTGCTACAACGTCTCCGACAGCAGCTCCTGGGCGGGCCTCACACACAGCCTCCACCGCTTCCTGGCAGGTAGGCGGGACGCCCTGGCCAGTTCCCCACTCTCCAGAGGGCAGAGGCAGGACGTCACTGGCAGGCCCCTGTTCCCCCAGGCTACTCCCCCGCGGCCCAGCAGGACAACGTCCACTGCACGTCAGAGCAGTACTTCTTCCAGGAGAGCTTCAGGGCTCCCAACCACACCAAGTTCTCCTGCAAGTTCACCGCAGACATGCTGCAGAACTGCTCCGGCCTGCCGGACCCCGACTTCGGCTTTGGGGAAGGAAAGCCGTGTTTCATCATTAAGATGAACAGGGTGAGCCTCGAGGGCTGGCCTCCTCTGCCTTGGCAAGAGGCCGAGCCTGGGTCTGCTCCTGCCCTTGGCGCGGGGCTTGTCCCCTCACCCTAGACTCTTGACCATGACTTAAGCCACCTGCTCAGCCCTCCGCGAGGTGCTGAGAAGGAGCAGGACGAGGGCAGTTAAGGGGAGGCCAGGGCCAGGCAGGGGCTGGGAGGGGCCAGGAGCCTCCACCAGGATCAGGGACCCCCAGGGTCGGGCACAGAGGGGCCCTCGGCTCAGCACAGAGGGAGGTGCTGGGGCCGGGAATGGTGTCCAAGGCTGGGCCATCCCTCCTGCCTGTGAGAACAGACATGGGCAGGCAGCAGAGTGCAGAACGCAGCTGGCCTGGCGGGACGATGGGGGTGACGTGGAGGCTGAGGCCTGGGGCAGCAACTGGCCAGGCCAAGGGGCAAGATCACTGATCCAGAGACTGGCCAGCCCTGGGACTCTCGGCAGTGCCCTGAGGGAGCTGTACACTTGGGCACGGTACCCATCACGGGAACCTGTGGCTGGCCAGAGTGTCCCCAGACCTGCCTAGCAGGAGGACTGTGACCAGGCTCCCTTAGGACCACATCAACTGCATGTCCATCAGTGGCAGACCCCGCCCAGAGCTCAGGAGGGGCGGATGGGGCTGGAGAAGTGGGGCAGGGGCCGGGAGGCAGGTGGGCACGTGCTGAGGGGCCTGGAGTGAGGGCCAGAAGAAGCCAGCCCACCCACAGCACCCTGAGGCCACACGTGGCGTGACCAGGACCCAGCCCCACTCCGACCCCTGCACCTGGGGCCTGGCTCTGAGTGTGCGGGTGACCGGAGGGGCGGCAGCCACGGCACTGCCCACACAAGGGCACACACCTCTCCTTCCAGATCGTCCGGTTCCTGCCCAGCAACGACACAGCCCCCCGAGTGGACTGCACTTTCTTGGTAAGTATAGCCACTGGAGGCTCACGGGGACTCGCCCAGGCAGCTGCCCAAGGCCAGGCATGTGGTGCGAGCGCATGGTGAGGTGCGGCCTCTCACTGTGGCCTGTGGGGCATCTGCGGCCTCTCACCAGCTCTCCAAGGTGCCCCAGTGTGGAGAGACCACTGCACCATGTCGCCTTGTCCTCTTACTGGATTATTTACAGAAGTCTCTCAGGTCCCTAACAGCCATGGCCATTCAATCAGGCCAGTAGGGGACTGCTGGGGGGTGGCAGGACGCTCGGGCAAATCCCAGTTTTTTTCCCAAAACCACTGCCACTGACATATTCTAGGGTCTGTTTTTAGCACTGAGCTGCCCACAGGTCCACATGTGGCCTTCGGCCCACCGACAGGACACGTCCCACCAGGTGGCCCTCTGTCCTCGCAGGGCAGGCGGGTGGGAGCAGTCTGTTTGGGCTTTCTCCTGGGTGGTGCGGGCATGGTGTGGCCGGCTGGGAGCAGCACGGGCCAGGCCCCTCGCTCGTTCTCTGACGAGCTTGGGCTCCCCCAACGAGCCCAACATGTGCCGCAAGGAGGCGCGGACACTCTGGAGAGCCACCGACCCCAAGCCAGGACCCCGGGCAGGCACGTGAACGCCTGTGCACAGGCTCCACCCGGCACCCACTCAGCCCCGGCTCTCCCACAGGACGGCCCCCCCCGGGGTGCGGGGCCCCTGCAGGTGGCCTACTACCCGCCCAACGGCACCTTCAGCCTGCACTACTTCCCCTACTACGGGAAGAAAGCCCAGGTAGGCATGGCCTCGCCCAGCAGCCTGCAGTGGCCCCAAGCAAAGACCGTGACGTGCCCATCCCGTCCACGGCCGGCCAACTCCCAAACAGCATTCTCGTGATGACGCAGAGACACGCGTGTCCAACTCCCCGACAGCACAGTGCTCAGAGCCCCTCCCACCGCACAGACCGCTCAGAGCGTCCCCTCTGTGCCGCGGGCAGCTCTGGCCACGGTCAGCCCACACTGTGTCCCTCCAGACCAGCATGGGGACCGTGGGGGAGGAGTCCCGGGCCCCCCCCCCCCCCGCACTGGCCTGGCTGGGCTTTTTGTACCACGGGTTCCCCACATCTCACCCCGGCCTCCACTCCAGCCCCACTACAGCAACCCTCTGGTGGCAGCAAAGCTGCTCAACGTCCCCACCAACACAGAGGTCGTCATCGTGTGCAAGATTCTCGCGGAGCACGTGACCTTCGACAACCCCCATGACCCCTACGAAGGGAAGGTGGAATTCAAACTCAGAATCCAGGAGTGAGGCAGCCACTGGGCTCCAGGCCCACCTCCCTGGACTGCAGGTCCCTGCGCCCTGCTGCTCTGGCTGCTGGAGAGGCGCTCCTGTCACCCACAGGGGTGCTGCTGTTCCCGCTGAGGCTCACCCTGTGCCACAGGGAACTGGAGGCTGAGGTGGAGGCTCCAGTGGACGTCAGGCCTCAGCCTCACGGACAGCACCTCTCCCCGGTGCACTGTAAGCTACAAGGCGCTGCCGTGGGGATGCTCACGCACGGGCCTCGAACTCTCGCTCCTAAGAATACAAGTCTCGAGCTGTAAAATAAAGCATCTTCAGGTGACCCTCACTCTCCTAAAACAGTCCCTCTGTCCTGACAGGGAGAAAAACGACTAAAATCAAACGCTCCCTTCTTGGAAAACCCTTTCAAAGCTTAAATTCAGCCCAGGGAAAAGAGGAAGGCCTGCGGAGGGGGCCGCTGGGAGGCTGGCGCCGGAGGGAGGCAGGAGAGGGAGGCAGGAGAGGGAGGCAGGAGCCTATGACATGGGGTCAAGAAGCCAGGTCACCTGGGCACTGGTCAGCTTCCCTGGATGATTCCTCCTCCAAAACTGACCCCTTCACAGAAACCTGAGATGGTGCAGCCCACGGGCAAACCTGCCCTCAGAGGCTGTGGGCTCCTCCAGCGGCCATGCGAGGCCCAGGGCCGAGCCCCACGGTGCCCGCTGCCAGCAGAGCTGCAGCAGGTGGCCCTGAACGCCACCCTGCACACACAGCCACGAAGCCCGCAACTGGGGTCTCCCACGAGGCTGACTGGGCGGGACCAGACGCCTGCAGGGCGGGCTGCGAGTGAGCGGGATCAGAGACCGACTCACTGTGTCCAGAACAGCCTGCCCCCCAGGTGCCCCTCACAGCCAGGGCAGAGAACACAGCAGGCCCCACAGCACCAGGAACAAGGAGAGACGAAGGGGTCCCGTGGCGGTCCGGAGGCCTCAGGGCACAGCCCCCCCAGCTCGGCTCAGGGGCTCCTGTGGGACTCCGGCTCGGCCCCCGGGTGCAGGGCCACGTCCCGCCATCTGAGCTCCAGCGACGCTGGGCTGGGCAGCTGGACTCTGGGCATGGGAGGTCCTCTCGGGGTCACCTTGTCATTGGAGTGTTTCCTTCCAATACGGAGGTGAGGCTCGCACCTCCTGCACGTCACGGGGCAGGGTGACAGGCCAGCCAGGTGGCCAAGGCCTCACTGCCCCAGAGGCAGAAGGGAGGGCGGCCCCTGACAGGAAGCCCAGGTCAGACGGAAGAAGACTGGACTCAGGGGGCAGTGGTTCCAGACAGGAGTCTGCAGACCCTGGGCCCCCACGGCCAGCCCCGTCACCACACACGGGGGTCACAGGGGCTCGCGAGGAGGGGCCGCGGAGGCCTGGTGCAGGCGATGGTGAGCACCACAGCGTGAAGGTTGCTGTGTGGCTCCGCCGGGAGCTGCCCTGAGGACCCAGAAGTGGAGCTGTGAGCCAGAGGGCACTGGGTCGTAGCTAAGAGCAGCCACCTGCCTTCCGCAGGGACATTCCCCCTCACGTGCCAGTCAGCTGTCTGCCGCTGTGACAAGTACCCGAGACACGGCAGCTTACCAAGGGGAA